GCACGAGTGTGTCCTTACCCTAAGGTTTATTTGTTTAACTGATATAATACCAACACAGGAATTTGTAGCCTTATCAATCGCTTGACACCTCTTCTACTGTTATCCGCTCATCGTTGTATTATATTTGATATCACAAAAGAACTACGCTGCAAAATTCATACAAATAATTTATTTTTATCATATCACACAATGGATACGTGCATGCATATGCGTCTAAATCCGTGAATGAAACTCCTATCTACGAAGTAAACATGCATTTTTCTAAAGTCGGTCGAGCATAAAATAGTAAACAGAATCCGGAATATTAAATAAGACATTCCCCTTCCGACGTCCGGTTTCACAAAGTCTTATGGTTTTATAGAAGTTACTAGAACACTTTCCTTGGATCTGCTAATAGTGGAGATCGAAGAAATACAAATCAGATATGATTGAATATTACAGTATTACATGTACCTTTATCCAGAGACATGCATTTTAATGGGTCTACCCTTGTCTGCATTTTTTTTTTGGGGGGGGGGGTCTATAATTCACATATGATAAAGAAAATAAGTTCAAATTTTCATCTTCTTTCATATTAGGAATTTCAAATTTCACTATTATGGCGAAAAAAAATTTTCAACAGGGTTTTAATTTGCAGAACCGGTTCATTTTATAATCATTTGAGTGTCATCATTCTAGCTGCCCCGATACAACCCGTCAAAGAGGCTGGTGGTTGGACACAATGGTAGAAGACAACTATGCAATAACTCCTGTTGAGATTATACAATGCAACATTTAGTTCAATTTTACGTAAGATTTATTATCATTTTGAAACAAAAATTACATTAATTGTAATTTTTTATGTTGAATTAATAAGCACACGAAAGGCGAGATATTTCCATTTTACTCATGCATTCATGAATGTCACCAAGGGTACACTTTTTTCTTGAATTACCATAGACTTTTACTGTTATTTTCATGTTACGACACGGTGGTAGATAATACAATGTCTGTATTTAGTTTTTTTTTACTCTAATCACTATAGGTTCCGGAATTAGTATTGAATTGTATTTTGTTTGATAAGAAACAAATTTATTAGATTCTGGTGCCAAAATATTTTTAAGGTAAAAAATCTGTTACATCACAACGTTGAAACTCAGAAAAAAAGTTTAAACCCCACAAGGAGTATCGAACTAGAAAACACGACCATGAATAATAAATCACATTAAGGTAACATGTGCACAGGTGTCAGGAAGTCAAACCTCATATTTACCGGCAATACCATTTTATTACCATGTTTGCTCGATATTGCATGGTTTCCCCCAAATATGCCTCTTGTGTAAATATCTTTGTTGTGTTGACAAAATTCTGTCTGTTCAAACTGTCTGATGACTGGATAAAGTTCTCTAGATTTTACTGTTTGTAATACAAAATCGATTTTAACATAACAATACGAATACCGCTCATAATGTAAGTTGCAAGATATCTATTACGTAATGAACGATAAGTTTATTCTTTTATATACGTCCTTCTCTTTTTCTTTAAATTTCTATCAGGTTATCGTGCAGTCGGCATTCAAGAAGTAATCCTAGCATTCATCTAAAAATGACAGGAAGTTTGATAGAATTATAAATATTCATTAAAAGGAGGTGAATTATTATAGCATATCTAAAAAGAAAATCAGCTTCTAGACAGTCTCCATATGCAATACGTGTATTTTATATGCAAAAAAATAAATACAAAAAGCAAAAAAGGAGCAAAAAGGAAAACAAAACAAAACAAAAAACAAACAAACAAACAAACAAAACAAAAGACAAACAAACAAACAAACAAAACAGAAAAACAAAACAACCAACCAAAAAAAAAAAAAAACAACAAACAAATAAACAAACAAAACAACCCCACCCCCAAATCAAATAGACTAACAAACAAACAGAACACAGTTAAGAAAACAAAACAAAAACCGATCCATGACAGTTACTAATTGTGTTTAAAAGAAGGTTTATTTGGACTTAGGAGAATATATAATAAATATATATATATCATATTGGATGCAGCAAAAATGTACTGGGACTGTCACTAGTTCAAAGACCACCTTTTAATTTTTAAATAGATGTTATACATATCTATATGATTTGGGATCTACATTTTTTTCTTTGTTATTTTTTTTTTGTTTGATTTATGCTATCTCAAGTATTAAACATTTCACTTCATGAAGAAGTCATGTGGCATTGCAACTATTACAACATTTTTTTTAATGTCGGTTATCTTTCGACTGACAGGTAGAGCAACAAGGTTAAGTACATAACTAAATTCAATTATTGTACGTAAGACTGCAGAACAAAGATCTGATAAAAAGCAATGTTTACACTAATAAAGAAAATTACAACTCTGGTGGCACGAATTTTTAGATTTGTTTCATCCTTATGAAACATATATACATAGAAATTAAACCTACTAAATTAAATTAGGGTTATGTAAAGAAAACGAGAATTACTAAAAACGAAAATAATGTATCTATTATGAGAACCGGGGATTGTTGATTGATAATGTTACCTGCAAAATTGAATCTAAGTACATGTGGAACACTATGCTCCAGAGATGAAAGGTATGCGAGTCATTCATTTAAGGTATTTAGAACAACCCTTTCAAACTAGTCAAGCCCAGCTACAGAGAAAGGAATTTGGTGTTTAGGTCACTTGATGTAAACAAACCTTTTTTTGCAAAAATCCCGAAAATTAATGTTTGTGTAAGTAAAATGAATAAGTATATTATAAGTTTATTTTTATGATTTTTCAGTAATGTGATAAAATTTGTACAGATTTATCAGGGGAACGACAAAACATGAGAATGTTGAGAACAGAAAATATACAATTTTTTAATATTACAAGGAATTTGATATTCGCATCATTTACAACCAAGCTCAAAAATTTATATCAATTCAGGGGTCCATTTTTTAAAAAGTTTACAGCAAATTTAATGAAATTAAGTGAACAAAAATTATCCAAATTCAACATTGCACTTGTGGTAATTAAATTTTGTCATTCTGGACTCCGTTTTATAAAAGAAATTACGACAACTATAAAATTTTTTAGCCGGTTTCAACATCTTACTTCTAGATATCCAACAACTTTCTCGTCCAAAAATATCTTTAAAAATAAGATTTGATACCTTTTTAAATCAAATTAAGGTGCTGGAGGAGATAAATCGCAAAATATAGTTGTTTTGGTGCTAGTTGTAATTCCATTTTAATAAACAGAACTTCGACTTATCGGTATAATCAATAGCAAGGCTTCTGAAAATGAAATTATCTGCCTTAACAAAAGTTAAAGAATAAAATGTGAAGATAGCGAACAGTACTAGTTATCAAACACAAAAGTACAACCTATGAGCGGAGCAAACAAGGGCCCTTTAAAACATCAGGGGAGGGATTAGGTGCCATGCAGGAGTAAGCATCTGTCGACTGGTCACACCCGCAATGTGCGTTTGTCATGATCAGGTAAACGGAGGAGTCCGTAAACAATTAAGTATGAAAATGATGGCCTAGACGCCAGTCAACAATCGACCCATAGATTGTCATTGTATCGATCAAAGAATTTGCGAAATGTTTATTTTTTTTAATAAAGTTTAGCTGTTAGTGTGACATCAATGACTTTTTCTAATAAAAAATCCAAATGTGGTAGATTAGTTGTGTCTTTCATTTTGAGTTCAATGGGCTATGTTGTGAAAGCTTCAGACACTCGCAGCGATTGTTCAATTTTGTATTGTACCTTTGCTTCTCTAATACATGTATATATGTACCTTTGTTTATTAACTTGCATATATTTAAGAGGGAGAAAAATGCACTGCAATTTATACTCTACAATATCTCTAATACAAGAAAACCATTTGTAAATCTACTTCCCCGCTGAAGGATACAACGCATTGCAGAGAATCATACAGCGATCTTAATTCAAAGTAAATTCTGGATATTCCCAGGAAATTCGACATGAAAATATCTATCATGGGATAGGATTACATGTAAAACGAGAAAAATCACTGAACCCTATTTAAAACTAGTGGTATACTGTGAGCACTGAGCTCACAAAATGATACCCCGCCTCCCATATGTTAATAATAGCAAAGTCCATGTTTTTGCTATGGGATATCCGAAATAAGTTTCAGATCAAAAAGTAAAATAGGAAGTGCACAAAGTATCATTTAATGTTATTCAGTGGTATAGGAGATAGGTACCCCTCAATGTTATAGACAAAATGGCAGTGTCTATGTTTTGCTATTTGAAACCCAAAATATGTGTCCGATTAAAAAGTAAAATAGGAGGTGCACAATGGCACTATGTAACAAAGATTCTGTGAAAGTATCATTAAATTTTACTCAGTGGTATAAGAGGAGTTGCGGATGTGTACCCCAAAGCATAAAAGGCGGACGGACTATATATCCCCGGTTTTTTAAGCGAGGGGTATTACAAGACTAGTGTTAATGAACATAATGTTCTTATTGTTTCAAATACTTTTCGAATTCTTTTAGGAATGATATTTTCAAATTTAGATATTTTATGGAGTTCCTTTATGTCTCTTAAAATTTACTTTTACATTTTATGAAACGTTAAGTTAGTTTCACATTTTGCAATTCCTTGATTCACCAGAACACATTTTGTAAAACAATATCCGTAGACATATATTAAAGATATAACCAGTTTTCACCTTGATACATGTACATCTGCTCAGTTTCCTATTGTACTACACCATACAAATACTCAACACTTCATCAAGGAAGAGGGTTGTTGTACAAACCCATTAATTCTGTTGAATCATATCCCTTTTCCAATTATGTTTTCCAGTCCTAGTTTTTGATGACCGGATGACATAAATACTTTATAAACAGGTCCTGGATAGAGAAAAAAGCATTATATGACCTACTTAGAATTTTATATTGTATAAAAAATCGGGAACAGGAATTATTTGCATCATATAAATCTATGATTTAGACAAATTTGTTTTCGATGATGATTGTTTCAGATGATGGCTCTTTTACAACGAAATGAACTAGGCACTGCGCAGCATTTTCTAGAATGTGACAAAAAAGACTGCGAAAAGAACTGTGAATACTACTGCAACCATTGCTGTCAACGGCTGTGTAGGCCATGCAGAGATGAACATAAGAAGACTTCGAAATATAAGAAGCATGAGGTAGTTCTTTATCAACAACGAATACGATCATTTCGTGTGGAGAAATGTAGGATCCATCCCACAAAAGATAAAGACATGCTCTGCGAGGAATGCCAAGTCCAACTGTGTTCCAAATGTGCAACACAAAAAGATCACCGAGGACATACCTTTATTGATTTGGAGACAATGTATACCACGACATACGCTCGTTGCCGAGAAGAAATTTCAAAAATTCAGCAGTACTTTCTGCCAACGTCAAGAGAAATTCAGAGAGACATAAATGAAGATTCGAGAAAAATAAAGAAGATTATGGACAGTATAAGAACTTCGGTAAAGGTTGATTCTGACGGTCTTAAAAGCCTGGTAGATAGATTGGCGTCCAAAAATATTCAGCGAGTAAACAACAGAGAAAAATCACTGATGGAAAATTTAAAATCCCAAGAAAAGAAGATCACTGGATATATCTCTTATCTTACAGATCTTGACAAAGAGCTCCAAAAATATTTGTCCCAAACAAAACCTCCAACATTTACATCCTCAATATCTGAGAAGCTAAAAATCCAATCCATATCTGAAATACCACGACTAGCAACACCAGTTTTTACTGCTGCCCAATACAACAAAGATAATGTCGCTCAATTACTTGGTAAAATAGACATATCCAATTCTGAGGCAGAAAACAGACATATTAAGCCCTCAGAGACTACCACTTCAACACTTACAATGGCTACAATGAACCTGAGGAGTGAAGACCAACTTAATAAGTACGATAATAAACACATAATGTCTCTCTCCTCCTCAGTGAGCAAGATTAGGAAGTTTGAAGTGCCATGCATTGTCAGTTCATTTCACATGTCGCTGGATAAATCCGGCAGACTCTGGGTCAGTGACAATGAAGGCTTTATTATCCAAACAGATTTACAGGGGAATCGGCTGAAGAAAATACCAGCTGGTGTAGGATACCCAGGGTTCCACACCGTCTCGGAGGAAGAGGATCTTATTTTTACAGTCAAAGACAAAACTGTCATTAACAAGGTAACAGTGGATGATACTATCAGTCAATTTTTCATTAAAACAGGAGACTGGAAACCAGTCAGCATATACTCCTCCCACATTAATGGAGACTTACTAGTAGGGATGCTGAAAGACAGAGAAACTAAAATCACCAGGTATAGTAAAACAGGTAAAGAAATACAAAACATTAAAAAGGATAAAGATGGACAAAACATGTATAGTGAACCACACTACATAACGGAGAACATCAATGGAGATATCTGTGTATCGGACTACGATAAAAAGGCAGTAGTGGTGGTGAATAAATCAGGGCAACACAGGTTCTCCTACAGGGGCCAGAAGGCTAGGATCTGGCCTGCTGGAATCTGTACAGATGTTCTCAGTCACATCTTGGTGTGTGATAGTATGAGTAACACTGTTCACCTCCTTAGTCAGGACGGTCAATTCTTGTCTCTCCTACTTACACCACAACAAGCGATAACGAATCCACGCAGTGTGTGTGTTGATGACGAGAACAATTTTTATGTTGGACAATGGAACACGAACACAGTGACAGTATTCAAGTATCTCCAGTAAATCTAATTCTGTCAGTTCAAAACTTTCTAAGATTCGGAATAAGCATGTATGAAAGGAAATTTCAAGATTGGATATGATATGATATATATTATTTAATAATCGTATGTTTAGTAATAGACGTGACTGAATTATAAAAGGCATCCAGTGTGATCTCATTATTTAAATGAATACAAATTGTTTAAAATATGCTAAGCAAATTTGTCCAACCTTGATCAACATGTAACTTTCGTAATACAATGTTTGTTTCTCCCAAATCTAATTCAAGGTTCGATTATTTGGATTTGCTATTATCGAAGCCTTCAGGATAATTTTCAAACATTGTTTTTTTTTCATCTAACTTTAAAAAAAATCATTCTTCAGCATATCTTTGGAAGAGAAGTGCCATGAAGGAGTAAGCATCGACTTATCACACCGACTGTGTGCCATTCGTCATTATCAGGCAAATGGAGAAATCTTTGGACAATCAGTATGAAAATAATGGCCTAACATTTGTATGAAAGATTGTCAACATTTGACCTACGACAGGTTGTATTTGCAAACAAGGTCATTTTATCGAACATAGTTGATGTTACCATTGCATCATCAACTTATTTCTCAAAGCCTGACCCTTTAAAAAAGAATTTATACATACTGAAAACAGCGTCAACTTATTTGTTAGTGACTTACCTCTTTTTTTTTCTTTTTTTACAAATTGTTCATACATACTTTAAACGTAAAAATATTGAAGACGATGAAATTTTGTCTTGATAACTGTATACAGGTAAATTATCGCCCCTTTCGCCCGTCTCACAGGTGGGCGAATTTTAAACGGGGCGAATTCAAAGAACACAGTATAATTTCTTAAACAGAACTGTGACTGGGCGAATTTAAAACGGGGCAAAATTGTTTGCAAGGGTAAAAGGGCGAAAATAACACGGGGCGAAAATAACCCTAAATACAGTATATTGACGATTTAGTTATTAGAATAATTATACTCTTCAGTATCAAATTAACTTGGAGATATAAACCCCTAATACAGGTGATAATGGTATATTGCTACATAAATAAGGTAAGTTTAAAAAAAAATGACGTCATATCTATCAAATATTTTAGTTGTTAGTCGCCATCATTGCCTTTCTCTAGTAAACATCCAAATATGACACTGTAAGACTCTGTGGTGTCTTATTTCGAGTATGGAATGTATAGAGTCGTCGATCTTATCAATGGAAATGAATTGTCGATATACCAATATCTAAATGTCGAATGCATATTTATTTGGCTGAAATAAAAAAAAACAAGAGAAAAAGATGTTTTTATTTCAAAATTTTTGTCCTTGTTTCATAAACATGTACATCGCAGTTGATTGTTTGTTTATTTACTAGTAACTAACTTCGCTTTCGAGAATTTTTCATTCATATTGAGACGCCACCACTTGCCGCTGGAAATTTAGACCTTACTCGGCACCCAGGGTCATTAAACAGTGACGGATTTTTTTTTGCCAGCACCTACAGCGACACGGGACCTCTGTTTGTACGGCCTCATCCAAAGTACCGGTCTCTACGTCCCTCAGTTGGATTCGAACCTGCAACATAAGGATCAACTGCTAACACAGCGATTCTAAAGCAGACGTTTTATAAACCACTGCCATCCTTACGTCGCAGGTTCGAATCCCACTGCAGGACGTGGAAACCAGTCCTTTGGATGAGTCCGTATAAAACGAGGTCCCGTGTCGCAGTAGGTGCTGGCACGAAAAAAGATCCCCCACTACCCAATGGCCTTGAGTGCCGAGTAAAGGTCTAAAGAGCTAAGCCCAAGAAGGGTAAAAAAACGGCCTCATGACATTTTGATAACAGATAGTGTAGACTTTATGGAACTTTTTGTCTTTTTCTTCTTGATATCTATTTACTTTTTCTTGAAAAAGTTGCAGTATGGCATTGTTTCACTAGAAAATTGCTACAGGGAATTTCAAAGGGCTTTAAAAATTACCATTACCTATACTAAAGTGTTAGAAAACAACTAAAAGATCTTATAATGATAGTTTATATGAGAAATGTTTTATTTTAATGAAAATATATAATTATATTAATTACAATGGGCAAAAGGGTTAAAAATGAGGTAATTCGGATGTTTTTAGGGTATTAGCACACATTTACCCCACAAAAATTTTATCAAAATTAGGAACTTCTTGATGTTATTTTTAATCTGAACCCTTAATAAATTTGGGACAGGGCTGTGCTCTATATAAAATTTGATAAAAAAAAAATGTGATATATTTAAACAAATTCCTGTATCTCATCTACATGTAGTTTGGAGTCCTAGATCTCAAGAATACAAGTTCAGAACTCCAAGACTTTTTTCCACTTTGATAAACTACAATACTTAGACTTTTAAGCAAAAAATATTTAGTCAAAACTTCAGTTTAATTTTGACCATTTTACAGGGCATATTTAGACCCTTTGTGGACTTAGCTCTTTGCATTCCTCCACCGGCAAGTGGTGGCATCTCCATATAAGTGAAAAGAGGGACTTTAAACAAAAAGCAAACAAATATAACCAATGCGCCACGCGGGCGACCATCGGAGTTGAGTAGGGTGTTATTGAGCTGTATTTCTCGATTTGTGACATTAATTTCTCCTTGAACTTCCTAAATACAGATATATTCAGTATAGTAACTATAATTTATAAATAATTAATGAAGTTTTAAAGATTAAACAAGCATAATGTAATGATAATATGATTTTATCAAGCAAATTAATACAATTACAATTGACCATTCCCGTTTGTTGGTTCAAAAATAAAGTACACATGTCCACTTAACAGGCGGAAACACATAAGTGCTTATTTTATCAATTATAAATTTACATTAATTTTATTTTAAAGTATGTCTTTGATAAATAAGTTCTTATTTCCTATTTGTGTGAATGTTGTTTTGTTCCGTTTTTAAATGTAGAATAAGTTAATATTCTAAACCTCATAAAGAGAATTTCATTACTTCCTTACATTTGACCCTCTCTAAAAAGCAAGGCATTCTATTACCGAATAAGGATCACCATATTTTAATTACAAAATCAAAATTCTCTACATGATTTTAAAAATGTTTCTTGTAATTATGTAATACAACCGTAAAAATAAAATTAGTACACATTTTAATTTTTTTTTTTCAAGAAGAAAGAAAATAGGGGCTAGGAAAAGAGAAAATGCAAAGAGACAACACAATTGCTGGATTATTCATCATAATAATAGTACAGTTCTGAACATCGCCACAGCATCTCTGTAATTTCGTCCTAACTTTAGGAGGATAAAAATCTTGTCCTGAGATCGTCATTAGTTTGTTGTGATGCTTATTATTATCATTCTTATTATTATTTTTTTTTTGAGTATGTCTGCATATGTATATTTTTTATCTTAAAATTTTGTCACAGATGAAAATGTACCATTGGACATTTAGACAATGACTGAATATTTTCACTACCAAACCCTACATTTCTGTTCTCAATTGATGAGTTGTCATAATTGCTTCAATCTGTCAGATCTATTTATTAAAAATAGTGCTTTGAGTGACTTAATTATTGATTATTTAGAAATATAATCTTTAACTCTACTTGCAAATCAAATAACTCATGTCATATGTTACTCAAGTTTGTCAATTTTCAGTCAAGACTATATAAATACAAAGGTGGCTTTATTTTATTACCGATAGTCCACCCCAGTGGATGCACAAGCATCTAGCGGGGATGTGATAATATTGATCAATTTTCAATCAAATATGTAAAGCTGGTGCTTTTTATTTGCGTTTCCTGACAATATATTTGAGATTTGAAAAATTTTCCTACATAATATGAATAACTATATTAATGATGAACTTTGATTTGTAGGAAAGTAGTACTAACTACATATTACTTTGTAAATTCAGAATAATATTTTGATCATTTTCAATTATACTTAACTGTTGATTTTCAGAACACAAGGAACGGATTATCTTAAATCTTTCACATCGATCGTAAATTCGCTTGTTTTGCCGCGATTTACGATCGATATTAAATATTTTATAATTTTAAGATTAAAACATAAAAATATACTGATGTCATCATTTAAATAAATAACTTTTTTCATTTAATGTTAAAAGACTTTTTAGCTGCAGAAATCTCCTAAAGGATAATAACTCCTCGTATATGTGTATAAAGTTTAAACAATATTTTATTATAAATTACAGTGGTTAGAGCGTCTGCTCTAGAGTCGCGAAGTAAGGAGTTGATCCTTACGTCGCGGGTTCGAATCCCACTGTGGGACGTGGAGACCGATCCTTCGGATGAGACCATATAAACCGAGGTCCCGTGTCGCAATAAGTGCTGGCACGAAAAAGATCCCTCACTGCTCAATGGCCGTAAGTACCGAGTATACTGTATAGGACAAAATTTGCAGCTCTCCACTGGCAAGTGGTGGCGTCTCCATATGAGTGAAAAATTCTCGAGAGGGACGTTAAACAACATACAAACAAACAAACAAACAAAAACATAAAAGGATTGGACAACAGGCATTGCCTATATTTAAGTCCTCGTACATGTATATATGTTGCTTGACCATTAAAAGTCTATCTCCCCGCAATAGGTTGTTTTACGTTTGGACCCTTTATAAAAAAAAATTGAGTCAGGGTTCCTTCCTAGGAAAAATTCCTAGATCCACCCCAGTAATCAATAACAATCCTGCAATTTTCATCTTTCTTTATCAGTAATTCATCTCATTCAAAATTGTACGAGGAATTAGGGTGGGGTCTTTTACAAACAATTGGAGGAAGGTTCAAAATTTAATATTATTTCATTAAATTATAAATGGCTATTCGCTTCAATATCATGCTTTATTTGAACCTTATCGCCCATCAAATCATTCCTATAGCCTTAGAATCAATGTTGCACAGTTCGGAATTCCTCACCTTAAAACTACATGTACATATTATATGGAAAGTTTTCTTCCATCAACAGTTAAACAGTAATTAAAAATAACTTGCCAGATTATTTTATAGAAATGCATATATTGGGCATATTTTTCCCTTCATCGAAACTATAAAATTTTA